CATTTTCTGCTATCTTTTAATGCCCTGAAATAAGCTTTCTGCAACGTAGGCCCTTATCAGTGCTTTGTAAAGTATAAGCAGGATTTTAAAAACACAAGCTGTGCCCTCTATTCAAGCACAACTCCGTGTTTCTCAGGAAACAATGCTTGTGTGGAGGAGCCTAACTTTTGCTGGGAAGCTGACGGATGGGCTGGATAAAAAGCTTAATTTTTTTTAATTTTTATCTAGAAAAACCATTTTTGTGGAGCACTGTGCAAATTCCCTGCAGGCTAAACCAAAGAGAAAGGAACTCTCATTTTAGTGAATATATTTGTTGTTTGAACAATCTTTTTGGTTAGCCTGAGCTTGTTATTTCAAATAGTATTCCAAAACAGTATTGTGGCTACCTACTTGCATACAGCTGTGTTGCTGTATGTTGCATTTAGGACTATAGGTGCAAACTCTGTCCCTTGTTGTTCTTTGTTACTATATTAAGTGTCCCAAAGGGACCAGAGGGTGGGAAGGACGTTCAGGTAACTGACACATCCTTATTGTAATCTAGAGCTCTTACAAAAGCTGATGTAACTTGCTTTCAATTGCTCAATGCAATCAAGCTGCTAGTTAGCTGAGCACATTTGGATACCTGCTGGTGAGACAACAGGGACTCAGACAAGCCTGGCTGGCACTTGGGAAGGTGAGGGAATTGCTGTATTGGAGAAGGCGCTCAGGCTGAGATTCCACAAGGCTTTAAAGGTCAAGAGGAAGCACCTTGAGGCCAATATTGAATGTGGTTGGCAACCAGGGCAACTAAGCCACTGAGGGAGTTATGTGCTTACTCTGCCTGCTGCCAACAAAACTCCTGCCAGCGTCTTTTTGTGGTAGATGAAATCTATTAATTCTGCATGCATACACATCAGCAGAAAGGGTCTAGCATTACTCTGATCTAAATGGAACAAAACGTGGATGTGAAGGACAGCCACATCCGAACGAGGCAAGGAAATGCATTGGCAATATTCCCAAAAAGAGTGGGGAAACACTTCACTCCCATGAAGCCGCATCATGGGCCGGACTGCGGCTAGATTCCTGGGGCTGAGAAGGAGCAGTTTGAGACCTTTTACAACAGACGCAGAGTTTAAATTGTCTCTCATTTTCTCTGATCAGATTACATACATCTGCAGACTCCTTAACACTGCAGACAGACGACTCGGGGGCACTGACAGTGCACAGAAGTGGCAGACGGAATAGCGGTGATGATTTTTAATGACATCTTTTTGATGTTAACAAATGAAAGAAAATGGAGCTTCCTGATGATTGTATTAGATCCGTAAGTGAAAAGTGTACAGATTGAAGGAAAGATGACAATTTGTGGTATTAGAAGGCAAATTAAAGGCAAAGCTGTGAGCAAACCCGTAACGAACGATTTAATGAAGTGGTTAAAGCCATCGTAGAACACAAACTGTTTTTAATTGGAAACATCGGACAGTTTCATCTTTCTATCAAATGTTCAGAGGAAATCAAATACCCCGTTGTATAAAAAGCAGCTGGGACACAGGGAGAATGGCACTTCTATCAGCGCTCTGTAAGAGGTCAATGACAATTTTAATTGATGCTATTTCGGTTCCAGTGGTATGGCTGATAACTAGAATAGAAATATCCCAACTGCCTGTTCTTAGAAATATGTGGACTTTATTCAGGAGGATCTTAGGCTGAGAAACAAGTACAAAAATCAGATTAAATCTGCAGATACAAGAGAATGAGTGCAATTAGAGTTTGTTCTATAGGTACAACCCATTTCATCAGTTTCTGAAGAATACAGAGACTGTCAACACTCACTTAGGCAAGTTAATAGCAAAGCCAGACACCAGGCACATCACATTACTCTAAAACTAGCAGGCAGTTCTTAAAATAACTAAATAAATTGTAAATCACAATTGCTTTAAAGTTTGTTTTCATGCATTTTTAGACTCTACAGAGCCCATTTATGGCTTGTTCTTTGTCAGCCTTGAGATCACAGCATGGTCCTACTAAATCCATCTCTTGATTTCTTTGGTGTCAGTGTTGCATACCAAAACAAATAGCAACTGGATTACTAAAGCAGTGGGAATATGTTTTCAAGTCTGAACAATAGCTGTATTCCCAGTTTGCTTTTGCTTTTTCAAATACAAAGAGTAAGACTGCCGTAGAGCATTAGAGACAATAATAGAAAACAGTGCAGCTAATTTTGGAGGTAGAGCATTTCTACAGTTTATGTGTGAAGAGAACTATTGTCAGTCAGTTCAAAAAGAAAAAATCTAGCTGGTGGTCTTTGCCGTGGGCTGAAAGGTTGTTGTAGGGCACTGGGAAGTGTGTTTGAGTTTGTGGTGCATGGGCATGTGAAGAGTGGGTGGTCTTTTGACTCCTCAGGCTAAACACTGGGAATCCAATGCACATCCATGTTCTGATGATGTATGGTGAATCTGGTATCAGGCTTGTGCTGGGACTGCTATTGTAATGCACAGAGATATCTTGTGATGCTATGCTTTTCGTGGAGCCCACGTATCCCCCGGTTAATTCTGCACTACTTAAGAGCTGCAGGCTGGATTCTCAGCTGCCACGAACTCCCAGCAGTGCATGATGTGAGCAAAGCAGCCCGGCTCCATGCAAACTGAGGAGCTCATCCAATGAGTCTGCATGGAAGGCTGATTTTAATGACAGTTCTCTTAAATGCATAACACTTTTTAGCCAGGAGCTGGTTTTTATCCAGCTTGGTAAAAATTAAGGATCGCTTCACTTTTCCTCGAAGCAAATACACATCCATGATTTCACATAATGCCAGGGTTGTCTTTCAAAAACAGGGCAGTCTGCAGATGTCCCTAACTTGTAATTCTGCCACTAAGTGCTGTGGTGGTCCCAGGATGAGGTTGTGCTCCTTCCACTGCAGAGCTGTGTTGAAGAGATGCTCCCTTTGGAGAAGTGTGGGGGAGCAGATTTCTGCAGGGCTGCTTTAGCTGGCGATCCCAGCCTCAGACTGATGCAGCAGGGCTCCAGCTCCATCCTCATTATACTTCAAACCCTCGTTAGCGCTGAGGATTATATTAGCATTGGTAACTTTGTGTTGGGATGAAACCAGTTTCTTCTTCAAGAGTCCTTTCTCCTCCTGCTGCTCACATTCCCACACTCCTGTCAGGTTAGCTCACTTCATCACGCCAGCCTCTGGGTCTGGAGTGGCTGGACTGAAGTACTTCCTTCATCTGAAGATATTCTTGCATGAATTAAATAGCTGCATCTCCTGAACCTCTTGTTTCCTACTTTAAATACCTTTTGATTTTTTTTTTTCCCAGCTCTGTTGTGCTTTCTAGATCTTAGGTGGAATCTTTCTAACATGCTTCCATTACATTACTTTGTGATGAAGGTTTTGTTTATTATTATAATACATCCAAATGTATTTTCAGATTATATTTGTTGGGGCGTTTTTTAGCTCATTCTCAGTCTACAAGGAAGTTAACCTGTGAGTGCAAAACAAAGCAGAGATTCAGACTGGCTATTCACTAAACAAATACATGGCTGTTTCAGAATATTGTTTAACAGTGTAATGCCTTCTGATTTTAACAGCATTATATAATTAGAATGAGCAGAATGGAAGGTCAGTCCTCGTGCCACTGAACTACTGCCACTGGATTCACGTTGTATCAGACTTGATATTTTAGTCCTCCTGCCTTTAGAAACCCATAAACAACTGCATCATCCTGTAGTGAGGTACATATCTGAGCGACAAGCTGGTCTTTAGGAATAAGTTTTGAATGAGAAAAAAGAGTGGGGGACAACTTGGACTTAAATATACATCTACAATAACAGAACTGAGTCAAACCATAAATAAATTCATTGTGGCAAGGTAACTTGCAGTTAGATTTAGATTTTTCACTGGTTTTCTGCCTCAGCTGTTGTTGTAATAGAAAAGGGGATTTCTTGCCCTTTCTTCTTTTGTATTTTTTTTTCTTTTTTTTAACAATCTCTGCATATTGTGGCTGTGACTCCTTCCAGCCTCTGTCTCCTCGTCCTCTCATGATGCTCTTTCAGAGACCTCAGGACACAGGTTCTGTTTTGTTCTGCCTTCTTTTTTCCTCCAGCTGATGCTGACTGGCACTGCTCAGCCTCCATTCTGCAAGGCACAGGGAACTCAGAGTTTCTGTACATAAACTCCCACCTTTCCTACCCACCATTTCACACTCTTCCCCACCAAGCTGTCATTGACGAGCCCCCAGATGCTGAGCTCTGGCATTACATTGCACAGCTCCTCGTGAGGAAATGACCTCATTGCACAGGGACAGGAACAGCCAGCCGTTCTTCATGCTCACTGGATGAGATGGCCATTATTTTTGGAAGAGTACTACATGGCTTATGGTGGCGTCAGAGTTTCTGTGTAGCAGCACTGAGAGCACAAATACCCAAACTTATCTCTCGCAGGATCTTGTGGGTTTTCTTATCCACGGATTGCCAAACCCCAAACCCGCCCACAGTGTCAAATCCCATGTGATGCTGCCCCAGGTGATACGGCAACGCACGCTGCATAAAGGTATTCCACACGTCTGTTTGTTGCCAGTACTGAGGATTTTAAAACCAATTAGCCGTGTGCAGACATGCAGCCCGACGTGGAGCTGGATACGTGGAAATGAAATGGTTCTGTCAGTTCTGAACCTCAAACTGCGTGGGTTCCCAGCACCTCTTCAGCTGTGCTTTCGGCTGACACGCTTGGCCTATTTGTGGAGTTGTGAGAAATCTGATTTTAAAAGAAATTTATAATGTCTGTGTATCATACAGGGGCTGATTGGGACTGTGGATTTGCTGTGCTGTGCTCTGTAAACACGAGTTCGTGCAGCCTTTGTCTTAGATGCTTACAGCAGAAGGGAGTTCACAGGATTGCGTGCAGCTAGCTATAATGTAATATAGAACGCCCATATATGCTGTATATTATGATCTACCCACATACCCAAATGTGCATTATGGGATACTACTCATTCCTTGCTGAGGTTCAATTGTTTACCTTTTTTTTTTTTTAATCTCAATGCACATATTTATGTTTTTTTGCTTGCTTGTAGATACGGTTTGCAAATCCAAGCAAATCCCAAACATCTGCCAGAAAAATCAACTCACCAATAAAAGCAGGTGGCGAAATGACTGCTGCTTTTCCACTGTCCTCTTTGGTTTGTTGTTGCCTCATTTTTCCAAAACGCCCCCACGTAACATGTCTTTCATCCACCTGTTGCATTGTGTCTTGTGAACTGTGTGTAGGAGGAGGTAATGGCTTCTTAACGTGCCAGGACATTGCACAACCCAGTGAGCCTTGCTTCTTGACAGGGATGCCTAGGCATTCTGTAACAGCAAACATCAGCCTTCTTAAACAAAATCAAACAGCCCGTCAGGTTCAAGACAGCATACTTAGCTTAGCTGGTTCACGTCTGCATATGCATTTATAAATATATATCTCACACACAATTACAAGTGCATAAATCATTACAGAGAAGGAATACTCACCATCTGAGCTGAAAATTCCAAGCAGAGAGGGTAGACAAAATCCTTAACATAGTTTGTTTAAAAATTATTTATTTGTAGGGATGTCATTCAGTTGCCATAAAGTGATCTAGAATGTAATGAATATATTACATTATGTACTTTTATTAAAAAGCAGTTCAAATAGCACTTAGTATTTCTGAAAACTCTGGGAGATGATATATCCTGTACTACTTTTAGGAATAATACTGCCATTTTTATTTGGCTGCAGTTGGATGCATGCTGTAAGAAGAAGTAAGAACTATTCAGTGCTGGGCTGTTTTGGTCTGAGGAAACTAAAGTAGATAGTTTTAGACAGTGCCAATGTGAGTGCTGATCTTCCTATTCTGTGCAGCAGCAGCTGGAGGTCCTGTCCACTTCAGCTTCCCTTTTTGTCTCCTCCCAGCTGTCTAACTTTTTATCACACAGTAGGATGTGTAAATTACTTTTACAGGTCATCCCCCATCCTGGGGTGGCCACAGAAATGGATTTTCACATAAAAAGTGCCTTAGATCATGGCAGAGAGGCTGAATCTGCAGAGGTAGTAACCATCTTTGCAGAAAAGCCAGGATGGACATTTTGATGTCAGAAATATAAAGTGCATATACATCTGTGTGTCTTACATCCTTTCTTTTTGCTATGTTCTGGAAGAAAAATATGTTGCTTCAGATACAGAGTTCAGTACAACTATTGAAGATCTGAGTGAACTTCAAGCTGTAAGAAGGGCTGAACTGAGCCAGGTGAGAAGCAGTGTGACACCAGCAATAATCTTTGGGGGAAAGTGCCTAAAAGTGGGCTGAGTTGGAGGATTTCTCTTAGGAGTAAAAGGTGAGGTTTGCCCTTTCACTGGGTGCTGAAGAAGACCTCACGAAGGACATCTTGCCATCCTATCAGTTACACAAGCGTGCCAAAATAGGAGGAAATTGCCTATTTATCATCTGATATTACACAGAATTTAGCAGAACAGATGAATTCTTAGGTTTAACAGATAGGAACAAGCAGGCTGTCTTTTCAGGGAAAGGATTTATTTGAAATGGCAATCGGTGGGCCTGTTTTCATTGAATGTTCTAACTAGGATGCTTAGAAAACATTTTTACACTGTAAGAAATACAACATGCATGTCTTATTCACTTATTCTTTCCCGAGATTGTAGTCTAGGCAAAAGAAACTACTAACAGAGTAATGTCAAAAAGCTGTTTGCCATCACTCGGTGAGGTTGGTTTTACAGCACACTGCACAGCTGAAGCATGACATGATTTTATCCATTCAGCAGCAGTCTTTAGAAACTGATTTGCCAGGTGACATTCTGGAAAAAAAAAATTTTAAAAAAAATGAAGTACGTCATTACTCTTGTGAAGAATCAAAGTTGTAAGCAAAGAGAAGTGGGGAAGGAAATAAGTTTCTGAGGGTAGACAAACCTTCCATCTGAGTTTATCTATATTAGCTTCAGGGAGGCTGTACTGTGCTCCATCAGAGAGACCTGTTCAGTGTTTTGAGGCACGGTGCAACACTGACTGGAACTCCATCCAACTGATTTAGCTGGATAAATCTTTAAGATTGCTAGTTCTGAATTCTGATTTCATTTACTAAAGCTTCAAGCGGGTAAGATTTGGATGAGAAGCAAATCTTTGACTCTGAAGTCAAACTTATTTTTCCCAATACATCCAGGTATTCATGCCCAGATTATAACCCAGTAGGGTTATAATCATTTTCAGTCTCATATATTAAAAATGTTTAGCAGCTTGACTCCATCTGATTGAATAAAAGCAGTTAATTTGCTAACAGCCTGTACTGAAGGATTGTTCCTTGAATAGATATGGTATTCAAGTAGTGAGCTTTTCCTGAAATACATGTTTTTTAAGTCACAGTGAGAGCACTAAACAAGCAGCTCAGAATAAGTGATGCCTGCATGGCATCCTGCCCTAGAAAACTTGATGAGCCTTGCTTTTCTTTCTGCAGTACAGTACATAACCCTTGTGCTGTTGTTCCAGATCTTTTCCTTTGCATTTACCCCTTCTGGGGTATATCAGAATTAAATCAGTCTGCAAGATTTACCTTCCACTTTCCTCTGTCCTTGCCAAAACAGTGGCTGCAGCGAGGTAGTCTTAACCACAGTTCCTCTGGTGTGGCTCACTTAGAATAAATCCCTGCCTACAACAGTCAGAAACTAGTTCTAAAACCAGTAAAACTAGCAAATTCAGCTTTTTATCACATCAGGTCTAACAGTGCACATTGCTGTTTGCAGTTATTCTACGTGCCTCTTATCCTCCTTTTCGGTTTTGCCAGCTGGGTAGAAGACAAACGTGCTCATAAAAGCTTCATTCTAGCTGATGGCTGTCAAACAGAACAGGCAACAACCACCTTGCTTTCCACAGAAGAGCTCTCTGTAAGTTACCCAGCTGCTCTTTTTCACCAAACTATCAGGACTTCAATATCCTTGAGTCTTCCACCACTGCCAAAGCTAATTGAAATCAAGTGCTGAAAAGCTTGAGGTGGCGGTGGTGGGCTTTTTGTTTTGTGTGTGAAAAGGTGAGGGAGACGGAGGGCTCCGGCGTACAACCAGCTCAGTGTGCTTCTGAGAAAGCAGGGTAGCCGTCTTGAAATTGTTTTAGCTGTCCTATCTTTATCCGACCCAGATAAAAGGAGGAGCTCCCTAAACACTGCTGAGACAAAACGCAGCAGCTGCGGTATCGTTGTTGACTTCCTTTGGAAGTCAAAGTGCACACAGACCCCAAAGCACCACTGCAGCTCGTGTGAAGATTCCAGGCTGACACAAGCAGTTACAGTGCACGAGTGACTGAGCAAAGAGTGAGAAGATGGCATGTTGGGACCTTTCAAATCTGAGGCATTTGATATCACTGCTGTTGCTTCCAGTGCAAGCTTTCCACGCATATTTAAGGTTTGCAGATAAGGTAGCAGTGCCACCAATCTGCTTGAAAACTACACTTGTAGCTGTAAAAGCGTTCTGTCTGTGCTCTAATTCATTATGGAGTGAGCACGTTCTCCTTTTCTCATTCCCTGGGAATTGGACATCACAAATATGTCAATCCAAAAGACCTGAAATGTACTGGACATCAATGGACCTTCTTTCTCCCATTGCATCCGCAGGCATAGAGGGAACAAACATTGCTGGTTCATTACTTTAATTATAATATGTGGGATGCTTTACAGGAAACAAAGTCATATTAAAACCCTGAGAAAAAAAAAAAACAACAAAACACCCTTGGTATCACAGCTGAAACATCTGAATGTAGACATGAGTACAAATCTAATGAGTGATGCTGAGATCTAAACTTGATGTTGGTTCTAAGCATTCAAGCTTAAATGAAAAGTAGGAGTGGGGATCATGCATCTTAAAAAGCAATTACAATACTACCTTGATCTGCATTAATACTGAATGGATTTTTGTGTCCAGGTCCAACAAAGCTGGTGGTCCTCGTGCTCCTGAGGAGGGTAAACTATTGTGGCTAAAATGGTAAGTGAATTATTTTACTTCTTGTAAATGTGAAGGACTGAAGAGTAGCAATATTAACACTAAAGTGAGGAATTATTTGCATTTTGTATCATTTGATCATTCTGATTCCTTAGAATCAGCCTCACAAAACTTCACATTTTTCTATGCTGAAACCTTCTGCAGAGACCTGGTGAATGTTGAAAGTGCTACTAAAACCACTCAGCGTACACCATTCCACCACATTTCCCTGGATTTGTTTTTCTAATACTCAATTAATAACATGTGAATATATATTTTTATTGATTCCATTTTCTTTCCAACGTATAATTGCTTCATTATAACAACGAAATGTTAAGTTTTTAGTCCTTATTTTCATGTAAGGACTTTTCTGATTCATTGCAGCACGTTCCCTTAAGTGTCCTCCAACTGGATAGAGAGGGCAGGACTTCAAAGGAGAAATTTCTTTTAAATTCACACTACCTGCTTGTTGGGAACCTGTTAGTCAGACAGGTTAAATAGCCTTACCTGAGGTCAGTATTTAGATGGGAGCTTACCCAAGCACTTGGAAGTGCAACGGTTTTGAGGATTTTGTACACAAATCTTGTCTGTCTTTCTTCTATATAAACTATGCCTTCTTGGGGTATGGAAAGATCCCACTGCTTAGGGCCCCACAACATCAGAGAGACATAAAACTGGCATTTTATATGTTTGCCACCTTTGGTTTGGTTCCAAGGGGAAGAGTGGTCAGACCAAAATGCAATTAAAATTGAATTCCTGTGCAGTTTTAGCGAGGTGAATTCCTCAGATTGCAGCCTCATTTGCTAGAGCACTTTGTGTGTTATCACTGATTTGATTCAGTTCATAGTCTTGTGTATTTTAATGATGAGCAAGCATATACCTGTTCTCTGTTACAAAGTTATTTGTGATGTTAGGCATCTGCTTTAGGTGTCTGAATGGAAGCTTAACCAAGTTGTAGCCTAGGATGAAATTAGCTGGATGTGGGAATTTAAAGCTGCAGCTGATGGTAATTTGCCCTCATGACAGCTGGTGTAATTTGGAGCTGCCCTTAAACCAGCCCCATCCCTGCAGGTGGTGTGGTACAGCATCTCGCCGACTGGCTAAAGGAAGTTTTAAACACTGTTTTGTGACAGATCTGAATCAGAGTGCTGCACATCAGCATGGTTATTGGGATGCTTACTGTAAAAAAACACGTTGGTTTGATTTTTCGAGATGATGGAGGGGAAAAAATAGAAAAATTGGCTCAGCTGAAGTCAGTCCACACAGACACTTACGGGACGTTAGAAACAAGTCCAGAACAGGGAGTGCCTGGAACACAAAAGAATGTAAAAGGTTTAAAAAGTGACTGGCAAGAAAATGTTAATTGTTGCAGAGGACAAAGCTGAGAGGCAGGTCCTGGAGAAGATTCTACAAAGCAAACCTGTCTCAGTTACCGTTAAAAGATGGTCATCTCTCTGTAACATGCCTTTTCCCTCCATATGCTGCATTTGTATTATCAAATTAAGGAGTGATTTTCTTACAGTGCCCCACCACAGGGCTTGAGCAGAAGGACAGCAGGCATTCAAACCAAGAGAAACCAGCTAGGTAACCATGCCCAATGCCCACCATGCCGTAGCAATGGCATAATCTGAAAGCAAAGGAACAGCAGAGTTTTATCCTTCCAGAGACCAACCACGATGCTTGAAATCTGGGGGTTGTGTTTTAGCCTAACATGAGGGATGGAAATCCAACTATCCCTGCAATTCTAACTCCATGTTTTTTAATTGCTATCTGAGACTAAATGCTATTCCTGTTCGAACTCAGTACGCTTTGTTCCATCACAATGATGTTCCTAGTCTATGGTATGCCATGGTATCTTCTGTGTAAGATCAAGCAGAAAGTCAGAGTGGACAGAGAAAATGCAGCTATCTAACCATTATCAGTGCTATTGCAGAAATTCAGAAGCAGACTAACTGCTTCTCTTTAATGTGCTGAATGGTTTTCTTCCTAAGTTTGCTATACGAAATCATCTCATGAAAACTAAGTCTGTAAATTAACTCACTGAATATCTGCAAAGTACGCCTACTTGCTGACAATCTTCATACAAGAATAACAGAATATTTTTCTAAGAGCTAAACCAAAGCGTGTTTTGCGGCGTATGTCCAAAGCTGGAGAGCTGTGTTTTCCTCTCCCTTGTTAATTGATTTGCTCGGGGTATCTGGAACTCCCTTCCTGTTTCCCTTCAAGACCTTGAGTCACTTCCTTTCTCTAAATAAAAATCCCTTTCGTTTCTCTTTAACCGACGATGGTTTCGCTTTGAAGCATTCTGATAACATCATCTGAATTCTATATAGATTTTCCTTCTTGTAGATGACCAGAAATGACCGTGGCTGGAGATGTTCAAGTCGGTTTCACCGCTGTGTCTGTACTCAGAACTCTACAAAAAGTACTAAAAAGAGCTATAGCTAAGGGAATCGCGTCATAAATCCCAAAGCACAGTAATTGCTGGCACAGCGAGGAGGAATTGCTGCTACTGGAGCTGCAGCACTGCTTCTGGGCTGCAGTCCTCCATGTTGGGACGCACCACTTCCACCAGAGCAAAACTCCTGTTGGGGGATAACAGGATTACGGGTGAATCACAGCCCTTCATGGGACGTAAAGGTTGGAAAAGACGACTAAAAGGTTGGAAAAGAGGGCTAAGATCATCTTGTCTAACCACCAACCCAGCACCACCACGCCACTAAGCCAAAAACGACAGCCAAAAGGGCTGGCTTGAAAACATATGTGAATCGTTTGTCAACAGAAGATACAAAATCTCAGAGGGAAAAGAAATAACAAAGAGGAAAACAGAGTCTAACAGCTTTACAGGGCTTCAGCTAAGTTCTCGTTCGCTTGCTGTAGGATTTTGTATCCCTGCAGGATAACAGTTGTCTTTGTGAAAGTACTGCGTTCCTTCTAGGCATGCCTGGAAGAGGAAGGGAATGCCCGTGTCCTCGTGCGAGCCTCCTGCAGCACCACCCGAGGCCGGGCCAGGTGCCGGCTGCCCGGAGGAGGCCGGGGAAGGCGGCAGTGCGGGGGGCGAGGCGTCGCCTCACGGCCCAGGCCCGCATCCCAGCCCGCAGCAGCCCGGTTCTGCCGAGCTGCCCGGTTCGGGTAGCAACGGCACCGCCGGGCCTTTCTGCGCGGCTGCTGCAGCGTCACGCGGGCTGAACAAGTTGGTGCGCTCCCAAAATGTCTCCTCCCTGGATGGACGCCGTGATTCCAGCAGGCTTTATTACTTCCTAGCCACGCTAGGCTCTTTGCGCGCTGTTTCGACTACCATCCCGTGCCCTGCCCCCATCTCCTCGAAGGCACGGGCTGACCGCCGCCGCCCGCCTTCCCCAGGGGGATGCCTCCGCCTGCGGACCGCCGCAGCGCCTCTAAGGAGCGGCTCCTCCGCACTGCAGAGCTCCGCACCGTGCCCAGCGGGTGAGAAAGCACGTAACGGCCGCCGGAGCCCGGCCTGGGGCCTGCGGCTGCCCGCCATGAGCTGCGCCCTGCGCCCCGCGGCCCGCCACGGCCGAGCAGGAGGGGCACGGACCGCGCCCCGCGCCGAACTTCACCCGACTTCGCCATCCCGCCCCGCCTTCGCACTGCATATTCATGAGGCGGCCGCACCTGATTGGCGGAACCGCGCCCCCGCTGCGTCCCGTTGGCCCGCGCGGCCGCCGCTCACTCAAGCCCCGCCTCCTTCCCCCGGCCGTGACTCACCAGGGCGTGGAACCGGTCCCGCAGCGCAGCCCGCGCCCTCCCCCCGCAGCCGGCAGAGGCGCAGCCCCGGCGCCGCGCTCATTGTTCCGCCCGCTCCAGGCACCATGGACGAGCTGGACCAGTCGCCCCTGGTCTCCTCCTCCTCCTCCGGGCCCCCGCGGCCGCAGCAGCCTCAGTTTAACTACCAGTTCGTGCTGGACGACGAGAAGGAGGAAGACGAGGAGGAAGAAGAAGAAGAAGAGGAAGACGAGGACTTCGACGAGCAGCTGGAGGTGATGGAGAGGAAGCCCGTGGCGGCCCCGCAGGAGCGGCCCTCGCCGCCGCAGGACCTCGGCAGCCCCGCCGAGCCGCCCCGCCCCGCCGCGCCCGAGCCCGAGCCGCCGCAGCCCGCCCGGTGCCCGCCGCAGCCCGCCGCCTCCTCGTCCTCGTCCGCCGCCAGCACGCCGTCCCCCGGCCCCGAGCGGCCCCAGCCGGAGCCTCGCAGAAGAGGGTCCTCCTCCGGCTCGGCGGGTGAGTGCCTCTCCGCGCCTTTGTCTGCCGCCGCACCGCGCCCTCCTTCCGCAGCTTTTGCGGGAAAACGCCTACTTTTCCCCTCCCCTTTTTAATTTTTTTTTTAATTGTTATAATTTTTAATTTTTTTAATTTTTTATACGCGCGTGCGAGTCGCTCTCCGCTCCCCTCTTTCTTATGCTGCTGGCGGAGGGAGGGGCGGCGGCCGCCTCGCACATGGCCGCCCGGGGGCGAACCCGCCGCCGCCTGGCAACGGCCGCGCCGCGCTGCGGGGCGGGAGCGGGGCCGGGGAGCGGGGCGGGCGGCGGCG